ATTTCCATAAAGATCATTTTATTTTATTTATTTTTATCATTTTTGTTTTATTTGACATTAATTTTGTCATTGGTGTTTAGGAAATTTAATTTGGTTGTTTCATTTAAAAAAAGAAAAAAGAGAGGAAAAAAAAAGAAGAAAGAAAGTTACTCAGTAATGATAATATTAGCTATTTAGAAGGAAATATTTGACATTGATTGAAGGAGCAGCCAGTGCTACTTGAGTTATGCCTTTCTGCACTCCCTTGTCATCAGGCTTGGATCAAAGTGTAATATCTGTTCTTCTCATCTCTAATGGTAATAATAATATTAAGCTTTCTTATAAGGGAATATTCAGCATTTGCTGACTGAGCAACCAATTCTGTTTTAAGTTGAAATTTCTAAAAAAAATTTCAGTTAAATCTCTCAAGTCTATCTTGGTTTTGATTGGCTGAGTTAGCGTGGGAAAGGGGTAGGAGAAAGATTTCAGTGAGTTGTTTCTTACCCATCAAGCAATGTAGATGTGTCTTCTTTTGTCTGAAATAGCTCCCCAGTGAATGTTGCCCCCCTCCCAACTGGATAATTAGATTAAAGTATATGTTGACATGAGTAATAAAAATAGTTAAGTTAAAATTCTGTGTTGAGGGAGTCTTTCATCGCTGAACTAAAATGATTAGCGATTGTTGACCGAGATGAGACCACTCCCACTAGTTGTCAATTTCAGATCTTTTCATTTGTACCCATTTCTTAAGATAATGACCAGCATTAGTATTTATGATTGTTATTTCAAGATTTTGTGAAAGTTATTAAGCTCAAATATATAATGATGTGATAGGGAATCTCTGTAGGTATTTTATTGTTGTAGAATTTGCCATGAGCTTATTCAATCATAAATTGAAGAATTAAAATTCATCAGAAAATTAAAATAGGAAAACCATAAAATTTTCATGGTTTTTTTCTAGTTAACAATTATTGCTTTGTCCAATATTGATGGAGGTTTCTTTCCTAACCTTTTGTTTGAAGTAGTGTGGAATGTCAACATCTTGATTATATCATTATTTTCTCTTCGAGTTACATGTGCTATTGATGTTGTTGGACGTCCTCAAATGATGTGGCTTCTGTTATTTGGTACAGTTCTTTACAATAATCATAAATATTTTTCCTAAGCATGCCCTGTAAATGGTAGTCATGTCATTTAGTCTTGTGTTTATTGACACAGTTACAATCTGTGCAATGCTCTAATCATTGTATGCCAATGTTTTCTCAGTTACTAGTCAAAGTTTGAGTATTTGTCTTTTTGTCCTCACCATTTGGCTCACTGACCCAGCCACGACTATGATCTGGTGGGTGTTATTTTTGTTGTTTATGATTCTCTTTTGGCTGGCGTGTCTGGATCATAAAAACCCAAATTATCTTATTCTTCATTCTTTTAACTGTTTTTTTTTTTCTTATACTTTCTAAAAATAATGTTGGTGAACAGAAACACATTAAAGAGAATAATTTCTTGGCAAATATAGATCTCCATGCCTACAATAAAACTGGGTGTCAAAAGGATGGTTTTTCCCATGACACCTTTATTCTACCTATTCTATTTCTTGTAAAAAGCTGTTATATAGGAATAAAGCATTGCTGCTGACACTTGAGTCTGAACATAGATCGCCAGTGAGCAAACACAGGTGATCCCATTATTGAATTTGGTAGACCATAGAGGAAACACATATGTAGGAATTTGAGTGACATCTAATTCATCTCCATTTTTAGTCTATCCTCTATTACTATACAGACAGCTATTCTCTACTCTATGCATTATACTATTTCTCTATTTTGATCACTATACAGATTACTATTCGAGTGAGTATTATCGAGCAAGTACTATTGGTGTGAGTGATATTCAAAGATGTCTGACACCAGTATTGTTTAACAGCATACTATAGTTGTATCTGCGATTACAAAGTCTCTACTACAATGTTGACATTACAAAGTGTCAAATGAGTGTTCATTGACATCACAAAAAAGTGATGATTAGAATTGTTATAAAACCTAAACATATGTTGAAAGTGAATTTATACATTTTTTTTGTTGTGAATTTACAACAAAAATATTAAAGACTTTATTAGATTGTTTACAAGAATAATTTTATATTTACAACATTCTTAAAAAAAACTAATGCAATGCAATATTTACCAATTCATAAAGAAATAAATATGAAAACAATTTTTATTCATAAATTTATAAACATTTACTAAATTATTAAAATATGTGAATCTACTATAAGGAAATTATTATTTAACATTTTCTAAAGTTTGAATCAATTGGCAATTATCCATTGTTTTGTGAACCATTCCTATACATAATATAATAAATTTATTATTTTTGTAGTTACTTATCCTCATGTTTTCAACTGACTTGAAGTGGAGTGACTACATCAAATCAATAGCTGCATCTACTGTAAGGAAAGTTGGGTCACTGTGTCATGCCAGAAAATTTTTCTTCTCACAGTCCATCTTATACATTTGCAAATCTACCATTTGTTCATGCATTGAATACTGCTGTCACTTCTGGTCTGATGTTCTTGATATTCATTTCGAGGTTCTTGACAAAATCCAAAGAAGAATCTGCAATATAATCGATCCTGACTTGGCATCTCAACTTCAGTCACTTTCTCACTGACTTGGTGTGGCTTTCCTCTGTCATTTCTACAAATATTTTTATGAAAACTGCTCTGATGAGCTTTTTTCCTTGATGCGCGACTAATTGAATTTAAGCCTGTTACTAGATTAGTATTTAGGTCCCACCTGTTTAGCTAAATGCAACTGCCACTTCTTCTCCTACAGTTACTTTTTTTGACACTTCCCACCTGTTGCACTCCATTCCATTTACTTGCCAGAAAGTTGTTAACCAACCATCTTTAGGGTTCTACTCTGGGTTTTCTGTCTAGATTTACTTCCATAACCTTTTCCATGTTTGGATATGACCGCAAGGCACTGGAGGTTTAAAATCAGAGTTTTCCTTCCCTTCGATGAACTGCCTTCCAGGACTGTCAAGCACCACCTACTGAAGCAGCTGGTTTTGAGGCGCCAGTTTGCCACCTTTACCCATTCTATTCTCCAGCTTGGAGCTGGATTTAGTTGTCAGAAGTTTTTTGGGACACAAGCCATGGAAACATTTTATAGACAGTAGGAACTTCTCCCCACTATCATCTCTGGCTATGACAACTCTTGCAACACACATATATATATATATATATATATATATATATATATATACAGTATGTGTTTTATAAGCTTCAAAAAAATTAAATGATTTTTTAAATATAAATATTTTTTTGTGATGTACAGTGGCCGTTAATAGTTAAGTATAACTCAAAACTTCAATGTTAAATAAAACACTATTTAATTAAAACTGCAAATAAATACTTAACAAGAACAAAGGAATAAAAGTCAAACAAACATAATTAATCATTTCAGTGAATACCCTGTTAGTAGCGCGGCTCAGCTTAATGTCCAGTAAATTCTAAATCAAATCCCAAATCATTGACACACTAATTTGACTGGATAGTTCCATTAAATAGTCACTCAATAATCACTACAGTCAGGAGCCTTACACTGCTATTTATACACCTGGTGAAAAACATATATTCATAAGTACAGAGTGTCACACTCTAACCTCAATGTTGGTAGTTTCTCATTTTCTTCCAAAATGATAATTTTAGGCTTAAATCCTGATTTATATTTTCATTTTTTGTTTCTGCTATGTTTTTCTAAAGTTAAACTTTTCAATATTTGTGTTTGTTCATTAATGTACTCTTTTGTAATTTGTCTTGCTTTCTAGTGTTTTTGTTATCTTGTATACAAGGAACCAAATTTGTATCTATATTTTAACACAAAGTTAATTCATTGCTAAAATGAAATCTTGTTTTGATCAGGCTTGTTTGATTTAAATCACGATTTAATTCAAATGATTTTTTGAAAAAATTTTACAAATCTTTAAAGCAAAGGATTTAGAAATAAAACATTTTATTTGTTTTCATGTAATTTCATGAAGGAAAAAAAGTGCTAAACATTGAATCAAATATTTAATCAACTGAATTTTTTTTTTTTTTTTTAACCATAAAAAATTTTAACTATTAACAAATTATAAAATTCAACATGAGCAGTGTTTGCATTCATGTATTTAAATAGAAAGACCAGTTTTGCTGCTTTATCCGTGCCAAGATCGTTTCTGTTTGGAATGCACCAGTCTATAGGACGAGAAAACTTGTTCAACGCCAGAAGATAAGGCCACTGCTGAGATTACTATCACTGCTCAACACACTTTCAAATTTCAAAGTTGAAAAAAATACAGACAAGAATTGAGAAACCCAGATCTAAGTTTAAAAACTAACACTTGTTGGCAGTCTTGCTAGCAAACTAATCATAAAAAAATTACAAGATAATTTATGTACAAATCAATCCTCCATAGCTGATGATTACCATGTCAATCTGTTATTTTAAAATACTGTAAGAATAAAATAGTTGTATGACCTTACCTGAAAAAAAAAAAAAAAAATCAAGACTAATTTGAATGTGAATTCATCCAATAGTTTAAAAAATGGTAAAAATTAAATGTAGATTTCTATGGACTAATTTGGGGAAAATGTCAACCAGATATAACCAAAAATTGTTAATTTGGCAACCCTAAATTATTCTACTGTCCCTCTTAAGCTCTTTAAACTATTTGAATCATCTTTGCCCTTTCTTTATGTGTAAAAATGGAAAAAAAAAACATTTAAATAAAAAAAATTCTGATTTTTAAATAAAACATCTTGACAACCCTGGTTTTTATTTCAGCAGTAATGAAATAGTCTGTTGATATAACATGAAGCATGTTTGCTTATTGGCATTGATTAAGGCTTCCTGTTACCGTAAGAACAAAATAATGAAAGTTAGATCAGTTTGCATGACCAATACGATTATATGTGCTAATTTTCAAAAGTGCTTTGATTTTGATTATAAACTGTCAATTTTAATATTTTTTTTACAGAACAATGTATCAAAGATCGCAGTATTTTCATAGTGTCTCCTTCAGATGTGCCTAAATTTATGAAGACGGTGTCATCAGTTCAATGGGAAGACTCTACGAGCCATCACCTGACAAAAAGTATTCAGACTGCATTACATCAAGATGAAGATGGTGACTTGTGAGTTATTCACATTCAGAAAATATTGGAAGAATTGAATCTTAATTAAATGAATAAAAGCATTTCTAAGTCTGAAAAATATTCATAGATTGATGAAAATGGTAAATGTGTCACTTCCTTTCAGGAGGTAGGTGATCATAGCTCTCCACAACTTCCTGTTTTTTGTTGCTCTAAATAATTTTTTACTCTTTATCATCCCTTTTCTGTCATCCATTGATGCAAACTTGTTAAGTAGGTTACTTATTGTTTCTCACAACATCTCTTGCCTTCAGTATGTCCTGTGAGTGTTAAATTCTCTAGGCCATCTTTCCTCATTATGTCCCAGACATTTAAGATGTATCTCTCCTATTGTAAGTATACATTTTCTTGTGGTTTTGATTTTCCTTAAGATTTCCTTGTTACTCACGTTTTGTCTTTTGTGATTTTAGCATCCATTGGTAGAATCACATATCTGTCTCTTCATCTGTGAGGAAATTGTTCAGCATTTACTGTCAAATAGGAGATTAGATATTACATAGCAGTTCAACAATTTTTTTTATTTTTGGTTTCTCACAATATTTTACTCTGTCTTAATAGTTTACTTAGTTTCTGAAAAGCATCTTTTGTTATTCCAAGGCATCTTTTGATTACAGTGACACATTTTCCATTGTTATTGTACTACTCAAATAGTTGAATTACTGTATCTCCTTGATTTTTGACATTTCCAATAGAGTGCTGTTTCTTTTGCTGATGACCATGCATTCTGTTTTCTTACATCTAGTCCTTTCTTCTTTGATGTCCCCACTATGTAGCTCCCAACTTGAGCTGTTTCTTTTGCTGACGTCTATGCATTCTGACTTCTTAGTTTTTAGTCTATTCTTCTTTGACATCCCTAACTACATAGCTGGCACCTTTGGCTGTCTCTTTTGTTGACGACCATGCATTCTGGCTTACATTTAGCCCTCTTTCATGTCTCCAATATGTAGCTTATACCTTGGGCTATCTCTTTTGGAGATGACCATGCGTTCTATCTTCTTACAGTTAATAGTCCTTTCTTCTTGGTTTCCATTACTATCTATTTCAGTTTTGTTTCTAAGTCTGCAATCAACTGTGTCGTCTGTATCTTATCCCATTAAGCTCATCTCAACTGATAAGTTCTTGTAGGCTTTCTAGTCTTGCTGCAGAGCTTATGTAAATCCATTAAGAAAATTCATTCTTGTTTATAAATGAAATTAAATACTATTTTTCTACTGACTTGATTGGTTTTTCATTTGAGGTGTTATCTCCAAGTGATAATTAAAAAGAATATATAATTGTATTTATCTGTGTGAATGAATGAAAACATAGTTTTAAGATGAGCCATATTTATGGGATAAAGTGCTCAATATGAGAGCTAGAGCATATATAAATATAAAAGTGAACATTGAAGTCAACACTCAGAGGTAACAGGCTGCTTCATGCTAGATGCAATTGATTGAGTGTTGACTTCAATGTTCATTTATTTATTTATTATATATATATATATATATATATATATATATATATATATATATATATATATATATATATATATATAATATATATATATATATATATATATATATATATATATATATATATATATATATAATATATATATATATATATATATATAGTGTTTGACATGCTAAGCCTTTACTTTTGCATCCCTTGGCTATGTAATCATTTTGAAAGATCTGTTAATGCTGTAAAATATATTTGTAAAATGGTAGATATCTTGTCTATAAAGAAACAAGATTTGTTTTAACAATTAATTCATTATTAAATCAAGATATCATTTTACTTTCAACATTTGAGCTTTGATCTAAAACAAGGTCTCATTTTGATTACGACATTTGAGCTTTGATCTAAAACAAGGTCTCATTTTGATTACGACATTTGAGCTTTGATCTAAAACAAGGTCTCATTTTGATTACGACATTTGAGCTTTGATCTAAAACAAGGTCTCATTTTGATTACGACATTTGAGATTTGATCTAAAACAAGGTCTCATTTTGATTCGACATTTGAGCTTTGATCTAAAACAAGGTCTCATTTTTCGATTTGAGATTTGATCTAAAACAAGGTTCATTTGATTCGACATTTGATTTGATCTAAAACAAGGTCTCATTTTGATTACGACATTTGAGCTTTGATCTAAAACAAGGTCTCATTTTGATTTCGACATTTGAGCTTTGATCTAAAACAAGTCTCATTTTGATTTCGACATTTGAGCTTTGATCTAAAACAAGGTCTCATTTTGATTTCGACATTTGAGATTTGATCTAAAACAAGGTCTCATTTTGATTTCGACATTTGAGCTTTGATCTAAAACAAGTCTCATTTTGATTTCGACATTTGAGCTTTGATCTAAAACAAGGTCTCATTTTGATTTCGACATTTGAGCTTAGCTTACTATGGTGATTAAGCCATCTATCCTTCTGAATTAATTGCTTTTCAAGACTAGCTTGATAGGTGACATGCCGGAAAAGGCCATTTTTAAAAGCAATTTACATGTTCTGTTGGACTTGAAAGAATGACACCATGGAGTATTTGTTAGTAAGTTGCTCTCTCAAACCATTACTACTTAGTGAATTCAGTTTTCACTGGTTACCTGACACTTATGGTTTTATCTTAGGCTAAATCTGAGTATAGTAGGTAAGTAAATAATTTATTACATTTTAAATATTGTACTTTTTTTACCCTAGGCCTTTACATATTGCTGTTGTTCAAAAAGACATCAAAATGGTCAGCTTATATGGAATGTTGATTCAACGTGCAGGGAAGTCTGTTGACCGGTTTAACAAAAAGAATCTTGTAAGTATATTGTGTTATTTTAATACATTACTAGCTTGCCAGCTTTATTTTCTAAGTATATGTTTTTATAATACCATGACCCATCAGAACATAGGTGATCATGGCTCTCCACAGATTCCCTTTTTTTTTATATTGCCATGACTTCTTGAGAAATATAGTGGGTATCCATTGCTTTTTCTGTGTTTTTCAGTTCAGAGTTGCATTTCAAGATTGGCTGCCACCCAATGCTCAAGAGTCTGATCTATCTTTCTATTTAACCCATTGCTGGAGACAAGAAGAAATTGATTTATGTCTTTTCAAAGAGCAATAGTGTGAATGCAACTTATTAGACTTGAACTTTAAAATGCTTAAACAATTCTGTTTTTCATATTGATAACCATCGTGATACCTGTACATTCACTATAAGTAGAAAGTAATTACAACATTATTACTAACCGTTTGTTAAAATTAAAATAATTTAAAACCCATATAAATTATCAATTATTATAAGGCAGATCTCCTGAGGTTGTGATATACAAAACTTGTAAAATCATATCTTCTGTCTTTCCAGATAGTGCAGAAGTCATCCACTACTGATGTTGTATTTTATTATGCAAGTCTGTGTCATCAGAATAAAATTGGTATTAATCAACCAATGTTGGGAAAAATTTTCAAGATATATTTGGATTAAATATTAATAAACTTCTACTGGACAAAATGGCGGATCAGTTTTGTATTGTTATCAAGTAATTGATCTAATCTAGAATTACTATATCATATTATGCAAGTCTCTTTTCACAATAAAATTGGTATTATCCAACCAATATTGGTAAAACTTTTAAGATATATCTATATTAGATATTAATATAAGTTTCTACTTGGCATAAATTGTGGTATCAGTTTTGTATTGTTATCAAGTAATAAACTGATCTACCCTAGAATTACGAGAGGATATCAGATTTTATTATGCAAGTTAATGTTGTCACAATAAAATTGGTATTAACCAAACAAAGTTGGTAACATTTTCAAAATATATTTACATTAAGTCTGTACTGGGTATAAAGTGGGGGAGTTGCTTTTCTATTGTTATCAAAAAATTAATTGATCTACCTTAGAATTACAATATATCATATTATAAAAGTCTGTTTTCACAATAAGTATTAACAAACCAGTCTTGGTGAAATTTTCAAGAGATATTTGTATGATAAATATATCATGTGAATTTCAATTGATCTGTTTTTATTTGAAATATTTAGCTTACAGCCACATCACGTTTCAACACCAGTTCCTTTACACTTACCAAACTATCTAGATGGATGACTGTTTGGGGATACCAGGTGCTGTAAGCTTGTATGTGTGGGTGGTGTAATGGATAATGGCTTGGAATCATTAATTAGAGAGATGTCTTCCAATTCCAGTTGGGTGTGTTATATTCATTTATGTGCAAATACCCTTGGAAAAGGTATGAATCAACCTCTAATCCTCCAGCTATAGGTTAATTAGTAAAACTTGTATCACTAAATCATTATTTCAAAAAAAAAAAAAAAAATTGTTAGAATCTAAAAATATTTTGCTTTGTGAAACCGACTCCCAAGAGTATGCTTTCCCTATCACTACAATCTTAACCTGTTTAAATCTAGGGTTAACGATTATCTCCCCCACATAAACTGTGCCTCTTACTCTGTAACCATCTGTCTTGAGTGGCTCCTAGGCCTTGTGTAGGGGTGAGCATCACTGTAAAAAAAAAAACAACAAAAAAAAAAAAACATTTTTTAGGCTTTAAATAACCTGCAATAGATTGATATGCTGTAGAAAATGAATCAATCCATCAGCTATTTGAAATATTTACACCAAGTAAGGAGTAAGGCAATGAAAACAATAGAATTAAAATGTAAAGCAAGGAAAACCAACAACTATGATCATTGGCAGTACAAAATTAGGAGGAAGGAATAAAAGAAAAAAAATGAGAGAAACAAAAATCATATAGAATGAACTAACCGATTATTACTCCTCATTTGTCAGAACTCGATTGAGGAAAGTAAAAAAAAATGTTTGTATACACCAACTAAAAATGAAAGCATGAAGAAGAAAATACATGGTTATCAATAATATATTCAAATGGATATATTTTTATCACATTCAGTCTTAACCATTCCTATTGTTTACATGTAGGTTGTCTTGATTTAATAAAAACAGTCTCAAGGACTTTTAAATGATAATTAAAATTTGAACTACACAAAACAAAGAACATGTATTCTTGGAAGGATGATGAACATTTTTATAAGGTGTCCTGTGATTGCAGACATGGATGTAATAGCACATTTAGGCAAATTATCCAGTTTACTCTTTCTAATAGACATTGGGATATGTTGAGCAATTCTCTTCTCTTGTACAATGGTCCTGTCCATGTTGTCAACATCACACTGACATTTAAATTGGTAAATTTTAGAATTTTGGTAGTGTGAGATTTTATTATGCAACTTAAGGGTTGCTTATCATATAATAACTAGATACATATAATAGTGTAGTTACTTATAGTTATTTAAAAAATATTTTTCTTTAGAGTAAGGTTCACCCTGCACAAGGCCCAGGGGCCACTTGAAGTAGAAGGTTATGTTAGGAGGCAATTTGTGTGGATAGGAGAGGAAGATAACAGTTAGCTCTAGACATGAACAGGTTAAGAGTTTAGTGATCAGGGAAGCATCCTCTTGGGAATCGATTCCACAGAGCAGTGGTTCACGGAAAGAAGCTGTTTGAGTGGAACTTGCTTTTCACCGATGGAATACAGAGGGAATGTGAGTGGTTTGCTACAATGTAAGTGGCATGGCAGGTCCTTGCCATGAATGTTAGAACTGGCAGAACCAAGGAATGTAGTTCGTCTGAACATTTTCCATGAAAGCAGAGGTAGAGTAGTGAGTGGCTTGTCACATCCCACCAGAGAGAGGTTGGAGGGTAGAAAATAATTTGTCACCCACAAGGACGTAGAGACGCTTTTGGACTCCCATTTTTTGGCTTGACCTTGCTCTTGTAATGGTAGAGGATAGCATGTGGAGTCAGATACTTACTGGAGTGGTACAGGGAGCATTTTTCAGACACATAAAGATTACCATGGGTCTTAAGAAAGATATCACCTCAAAAAAGAAACAAGGTATTAAGTTATTGAGTTATGAGAGTACATTAAAAATAGTGAAATGGCTGAGCAGAAATCATGCAATGATCAATATAAAAATTGAAAATATTGGCAAGATATGATCAAGAAGCAAAAAAATGTCTGAGAATGTCACAAAAAAAGAGTTGGGAAGAATTAAAAAGGTAACAAGCAAGAAAAGTGGATTGAATGGCAAGAAAATATTTGAAGATTGTGTTGCTAATTTTATCTAAAATGCAAAATATTAAAAACGTTAGCTAAAGATACAAACACACCCAAACTACCTCCATTAAGTTAATATCGCAAAGAGAAACTTGTAAATTGGTCAAGGAAGTATATGAAAAATGATTTAAGAAATGAAATCCCCATTTTTCACCATTAGCTTTATTTATCCTGCTCCAACACATAAATTCCAACATAACAAAAATGATGATATAATAGGTTTTTTTTTTTTTTTCATTTTAAACATTTTTAGTGGATACTCATATTTAAGTAGATGCTCCAGATGAAGGGAACATATATTAAGATTTCTTGAATATTCAGGTCGGTAGATAAAATAATTAAATGTACTGTTTAATTAATAAATGAGGAGTCTACTCAAATATGAGTATCCACTAAAAGTAACATTTATAGTAATAAAAATCTGTTGGAGTGATAAATAAAAATTCATTACCTTAGAAAATTAATCATATAATTGTAGAGTTACTGATATTTAATTTCAGACACAGATGGGTCTTAAGAAACATGGCACCTCAAAAGAGAAACAAGATATTATTAAGCTATTGAGTTATCAGTATAACATTAAAATTGTTAAAAGGTCTTTTTCACTACCTTCTGATAGTGACATTCACCAGTACATTTTAAAAAATGGTGATATAATAGTTTTTTTTTTTAAACATTAATTTTAGTGGATACACATATTTGAGTAGATGCTCCAGACGGAGGGCACATATAATAATAATCTGATTTCTCGAATATTTAAGGCCAGTAGATTAAAATAAATAATTATACTGCTTAATAAATAAATGGATCATCTACTCAAATACGAGTATCCACTAAAAATAACATTTAAAGTGATAAAAATCTGTTGGAGTGATAAATAAAAATCCATTACCTTAGAAAATTAATCCTCTAATTGTATAGTTATTGATATTTAATTTTTAATTTCAGACACACAGATTACTATGGGTCATAAGATGGCACCTCAAAAGAGAAACAAGATATTGTTAAGCTATTGAGTTATTAAAACATTATTATGTTAGTAACATTAAAATTGTGAAAAGGCCAAACAGAAATCACAAGGTGGCAAGATAAGAATAAGAAGCAAAAACAAAAAAAATATGACTAAGAATTTCACAAAAAAGTGTTTTAGGAAGAATTAAAAAGGTAACAAGCAAGAAAAGTGGATTGAATGGCAAGAAAATATTTGAAGATTGTGTTGCTAATTTTATCTAAAATGCAAAATCATAAAAACATTAGCTAAAGACATGAAAACAAGCAAACTACCTCCCTTAAGTAAAGATCACAAAGAGAAACTTGTAAATTGGGCAAAGAAGTATATGGAAACTGATTTCTTAAAAGATGTAATGAACTTGATGACTGGGTTAGAGGATGGCTCCTTCATAGAAATAGTCAACCAACATGACTTAGATGACCACAAAGGATTAGGTGGGATAATATTTTTGGATAGTATTATACATGAAAAATATAAAACAAAATAAACTGGATTTAACAAAAATGAAAATGATAAGCAAGCAACATGGATTTGACCAGCAAGAAAATATTTGAAGATGTAAACAGAGAAAAGAAAGAATATTAAGAGCATAGGTTAAAGGCATGAAAGCAACCAAACTGCCATCTTTAAGTAAATATCAAAAAAAGAAACATGTAAATTGGACCAAGAAATATATATGAAAACAATAACATAGACCTACAAAATTCTTTTTTTTTTTTTCTTTTTTTTTTTTTTTTTAAAATGCTGCATGAGGCATTTCACTAATTTTGAACAATTTTGGGGTGCTGGATCCAAAAATAACCTCCATTTCTTACCATTAGCTTTAGTTATCCTGCTCCAAAAAAACCATATCCTATGTTAAAAAAAATATAGCATGATTAGGTCAGGTCACTGTAAATATGAAGGAAAAAATGTTTATTTGAAGCATAAAAACAACCTAAGTGTAGGTGGAGTGATTCAATTGAATCAATGTCTAAGTTGGCTGCTGGGAAAGTCAGTTCACTGTGTTGTGCCAGATAATTTTTCTCATCAGAATCCATCTTGCATGTTTATAAATCTACCATTGAGTATTGCTGCCATATCTGGTCTGGTGCTCCTGCTATATATCTCAAGATTTTTTTACATATTCTCTTCTTGTGATGACTATTTGTATGTGTTGAATTTTCTTTATGTTCTTGCAGACACCTTTACATCTGTGTGTGAAAGTGAAATTCCTTGAAGGATTAAAAAAACTAATCCAGATGGGTGCTGATGTGAACACGTTAGATGGAAATGGACAATCAGCTCTACATATTGCAGTTTCTAATTCTGACCTTGAATGTTTTGATTTCCTGTTGCAGCAATGTAATATTCATTTGAAGGATACAAAAATGAAACCCAATCTGAACAGTCATGACTATAAAGGTAATTCTTGGTTTAGAAAAAAAAAGTCCTTACAGAAAACTTTAATCAACTGTTAATTTGTGTCTGTTAAACATTGAAGAGTTCTTTTTGTGAATTAAACCCCCCCCCCCCCAAATCCCCAGTTTTGTGCTCTATATTTTTACTAAAAGTGCTGCTGGTCATAGAACAGTTTTTCATTGTTGGGAATATATTTTTGCTGTTTTGTAACTTTTGGTTATCCATATATCATCTGTCTCAAGAAACACTTCTAAATTTAAGCAGGCTTTCATCAGATATGGGTAAGAAAAGTTAAAAACATATCACAGCATGTCATGTTTTGTGCATTATAAGGTACTAGACACTGGCTTCAATGATCTGTCTGTGTGTATATATACACACACACACACACACATACGCATGGGTGTATGGTTGAGTGGCTAGAAATTATAATAGACACTGAATTTACTGACTTGTCTATGTATGTGTGAGATATATATGTGTATATTTAGGCAGCAAATTCTCTTTTAGGCATGTATGATTGAATAAATTACAGACATTATGTCTGCTAATTTTTAACAAGATCCATCCATACTCATGAATAACCTTCCGTGCATTGATGTTAAAAGATGAGAGAAATGTGCTATAGCTGTTTAAATTACTTTTATTTTCATTTCCCAAGTACTGTCGATCTTTTTCCATAATCATCTTCAGGGGTACAAGTAATACAAAACTATAAGTTGTTCTTTAATATTAGTATTTATATAAATTTGTGCATTGGTATCCATTACCGTAATTTTGTTATTATGCTTTTAAATGCAAAACGGTTGGCAATTTGCTGCATGTTCGTTAGAAGGTAAAAAAAAAAAATTATCCATTATGGAATTTTTTCTCTCTCTGTTATAACATAGAAAAAATCCACATGGCCAAATGGTTAGAATGTTGGCTTCACTTGTTTGTTTATCTGTGTACATATATGTACGCACACACACATGGGTGCATGGCTGAGTGGTTAGAAATTAAAAGGTAATGAACACTGGGTTCACTAGTTTGTCTGCAGTGTGTGTGTGTGCTTGTTAGGATTTCTGTTAAGATGGGCCATACAGAATTTCCATTGGGGGGGCAATTGTAATGATGTGTCATCCTAATTAACCATTCCTAAATATATCAAAACTGTTTTTTATATATATATATATATATATATATATATATATATATATATATATATAATGTAAAAAGGAAGGGGAGTAAGTAGTTCTAAAATAATTTAATTAAGGTTTTTATACCAAAAAGGGTAGTGTGTTCCATGCAACACATAGTGGCAGAGCTAAATTTTATAAACTAAATTCTGTTAAAGCACCAACTGACCACTACTGTCAGTTTCATACACATGAAACTGGGAGTTGTGGTTGCTTTACTAGAATTTAGTTATATATATATATATATATATATATATATATATATATGTGCACATGGTCAAGTGGTTAGAACATTTGCTTTCTCACTGTGAGGCTCAGGTTTGAATCTGACCATCATTGATTTGTCAGGAAGGTGACTTCTTGATGTTATCAGTCTGGAGGAAATGATCTCAAGATGTGGCACCTTGGAAAAGTTTCTTCAAAACCATAGCACAGATTGGTCCAAGCCTTGTATGTATAATTGGTTAGATGGAACTGTTTGGAAACTCTCAATGGTTGTGCTAGCATGAAGTCATCATGATTGACCATACTGGCGTTGTTCAAACTGCTGGTCACTACAGTTTTAAGATCTCTCACCCCAAAACTTTAGGGCCTGCTGAGCATAGTTACAGTGTAAACCATAAGTGGATTCTGTGGGTGGTTAACAAACACAAATGTGCCTGAGTGGTTGTCTGTGACAGAAATTGACAAGCTGCCCTTGCACTCTAGCAGATGGGTGTGCCTGGAAAAAACACACACACAATATATATATATAGATAGATAATATTAGTGGAAAATATACATATGCAAAATATATAAATACCCATACATGTATATTTTCAGAAAAAAATTCCAAGAGGAAGAATCCAGGTAGAACTCAATGTCTAGGACAGAGTAAGGATATAATAAAAAGGCTTAAACACTAATATTCCATGGTCATAATTTATTCCATTGGAATCTTAAATACAATCCAATTCATCAGACCTGATGAATTGGATCGTATTTACGATTCCAATGGAATAAATTATGACCATGGAATATTAGTGTTTAAGCCTTTTTATTATATATTATATATATGTACACACACACAAAAGATCATGCTGGATTATGTGCTTTCTTCCAGAAACTATAACAAAGGTCTTACCAGTATAGTTGCAATATAAATCACAAGTTGACTATGTGAGTTTTGAAGAAAGATAAATTTGGCTAAGCAGCCCTCTACAATGCAGATTAACTAGCCGTTCTTCGCAAACATGGATAAACATACCCACAATAGTGTCAAAAGGACAGTTTTTTCCATGACGCCACTTGTTTAACTACCTTCACTTTCCAGTAATTTTTATTATTTTAAAAAGTGATGGAATAAGCAGTAAAACCTGCATTGGAATAAGCAGTAAAGCCTAAACATATGATGAAAGTGAATTTATATATTTTCTTTGTTCTTGTGAATTTACAACAAAAATATTAAACCCTATTTATTAGATTGTTTATTTACAAGAATAATTTTATATTTACTGCATTCTAAAAACTAATACAATTAAAACTAATGCAATGCAATATTTATCATTTACCAATTTATAAAGCAATAAATGTAAAAATGACTCGTAAACATTTACTAAATTATTAAAATATGTGAACCATCTGTAAGGAAGTCCTTATTATTTACCATTTTATAAAGTTTGAATCAATTGGCAATTAGTTGATGTTTTGCCAATCATTCCAGTAAATAATATAATAGTGTAAATAAACAATCTAATAAATAAATAGTGTTTATTATTTTTGTTGTCAATTCTTGCTTACCTTCTGTTGTGGAGTAGCTGAACACCCCTACAAGATGGATTGGTACTATGACTATTTAAACAGCACTCTCCCTTACTGAGGGAGGGGAGTTAACAAGAGTAGGTTTCCTCTCTTGCTGGCCTCTCTGCTTGCAGTCAGAGAGGAACGCAGATGAAGCTAAGCCAAAGGGCAGTGTCTTGTTTGGAGAGGTAGACAATTGCCCAACTCTGTATGCGGGGTCTATGGAAAATTTTCGCCTGAGTGTACATGCTCGGAAAGCACCACTTTAAAAACCAGCCTTGTTTCACATCCTGCCTTGTGAGGAGGTCATGGGTAAATACTGAGGACTTAATGATTAACTGTTTATTACATTAGCCTGTGATTTCAACCATGTACCATATTCTATGAAATAAACTACTTATTTCTGTATGTGTCAACCTTTCCTATTTACGATGCAACACTTACAAAAATTTCAATGCAACCTGTCTTTTTGAATCCTGTTTTTTTATTCTTTCTTTCCACAATAATACTCTCTGCAACCCCTTGTGCCTTAGTGGCTTTATCACCTTGCTTGCGGGTGAAAGAATTTAAAAAAAAAAGAAAGAAAATGACATTAAAGCTTGTGCCCAAATCAGCAACAGATAACTGCAAAGCTTTTAATGAAAATCTAAAAGAAATGGGATCAAAATCTCAAATGCTTCATTGTTTTTGAAATTGAAAAATCAGGGATAGCAAATCAAACGTGTGTACCCATTAAAAGTAACATTTATAATTATAATAATGTTGGACAAAAAAAATATCCTTTAAATAATTACAATTGATCTTGATGTTAATAATGTTTTGGCTGATCCTTCTTTATGTAGTTATTGATTATATTCAAAACATTGTAGCAGTTCTTGTGACAGTAGCTGGATTGATTTTCAGTGTTGGCCTTTGTTCCACTGGAAAAGATAGAAGATTAAAACCTTGACTTGCCATTTCTTTCTGCAGTAGACCAGTTGCCATTCAGAGCTATAGAACCCAGTCTGTCCTGCTACTTACTTACTGGGGGGAGAAGAGGATTCATACCTTACCCGAGGATATTAGCACATAAGTGAATGTAATGGATTCAACTGGAATTCGAACTCGGCTCTCCGATTCCTCAATCCAAGCTGCTATCCATTACTCCACCATAACAAAAAATATGAAAAGTTATCAAAAACTCAGACATTAAATAATTCTTTATTACTAGTTTAAAGAAACTAGTAATAAAGAATTATTAAATATTATTAAATTTAAATATGGCTACATTTTTTTATATTATGGATAGCATAAAAAAACGGCAGCCATATTTAAATTTTCAATCTCATTTTTTATATTTTCTGCATAAGTAATCCAGGAATGTTTATTTATAAAAGTAATTCTATTGTTGCATGTAGGAAATAATTCTACCCTTTAAACCATTATAAGTGGAAATTATCCAAGAAAAGCTAGCATGAAATAAAAGAAATAAAATTGAATATATTAGTAGGCTCATCTATTTACTATTGTTATAGTAACTTGACATTTGTGGTAACATTTATGGTAAGATGACATTTTATACAATTAACTCTATTGTTGCTTGTAAGAAAGAATTATACCCTTTAAACCATTATTAGTAAAATTATCCAAAAAAGCTAACATGAAACAAAAATTAATATTACCAGGCTCATCTCTCCTATTTACTGTTGTCATGGTAACATGACATTTGCTTATTAGCATCAAGAGATGCTCTTTTGTTACTTTACCACATTGGAATATTTCATTACTAAAAAGGGAAGAAGAGGTTGCTTGATTGATAAAAAAATAGTCATATTTTGTTTTACATTATATGTGATGTGGCAGAAATACCTCCCATATTATTTGCCTTAATAGGTTTACACCCTCTCCTTTTATATATCTTTGTAAAAAAAAAAAAAAAAATTATTTATATCATTGGTGTATTATTAGGTCCCCTGTGAAAATGCAGTATTTTATTGTGTGTTCAACCTGAATGGCGAAGGATAAGTTCTTATGGTGTTTGTGTCAGTTGTTAGTATAGATGGGTTA